AAATTGTTCTCTCATATAATGCCGATGGGGTTGGAGAGAAGAGCTAACCTTTAACTCTCAGATTCTAGGACACATCTCATCAGAGGCATGTGTTTAAAGGTCCTTGAACAGCAGCGCTGTGCCACTTCTAACAATGGCTTTGTCTATTTCGTTCTAAGCATTTGCTATGTTTCTGGCCTAAAATAGCAAATTTAATCCGGGGAGCAAAATGTACTCTAGACAATTCCATCTAGTTTATAGCCACTTATGTGGGCTCACTGGTTGCCCTCAATGCTCTCCAGCTGGATGTGGTCACTTTGGTAATTGCTTTTGGCTGTTTTAGCTTTCCTCACTTCTTTTGGACAATATCAGCTTCCTTCCTTCCTTCCTTCCTTCCTTCCTTCCTTCCTTCCTTCCTTCCTTCCTTCCTTCCTTCCTTCCTTCTCTTTTTTCTTTTATTTCTTTAATCTCTGAGTATTGCCCTGTTTTTTCTCCCAGCCCCCTCTGCTCCCCAGCTTTATTCTCTCTATCCTTTAGCCCCAGCCTGCAGAACTGCACTGACTAGGCCGACTCTTGGCCCCGCTTTCAGAAAAAGGGGATTTGGCCAACAACAAATGCTCAGTTCGATGTGGTTGAGGCCAGGTGGTCATTTTGTGAAGGATCCAGAGTCAGCTGTCTCCCTCTCTGGGGTTTGCTTGGAGGAAACAGTACACATAACAGGCAACACTGGAGCATCGCTGTAGTTAACGGCTGGCCACACCAAGCAGGGCTCACTAGGCATGAGCTCAACGTTTATAGCACAATGACTCTGGCCCTGAAGAAATGTGGCTCCTAGAATGTCTCCAGCTCTGGCCCATAACATTAGCCATGTCTCGTCTCAAGATACAGTTAGTTGAAGGCTGGGGAGAAGCACATTTGCTGGGAAGAAGCAAGATCTCTCCCCCCAACAGTTTCCTCTGATGCTTCTAAATCAAGCAGCATCATAAAGCAGGATGTGGACTTAAATGTTATATTGTCCTGTAACTGCTAAACTTGAACATTGGGGAGAACTTAAGAGATCCCCAGGTGCAACTCAACTTCACCATGTAAATGAGCTCTGGGGATGCTAAATGTCCTGCCTAAGGCCATGGTACCTGTAAACACAGTTTACCTCCTAACCCACCACACCAACTCATGGAGGGCGGTAGACATTGCTTTTAAACGGGACATCCTCCCTTCCTGAGGTTTGGGTCTGATTGTTTCTCATCCTTTTGCTGGGCCTTAGCTTCTTTAACTTACATAGAATTTTCCTGTTACATAATTGCTATGGAAGGTGATCTGAACATGAAGTGCTATTTTTAATCTTAAAACTTAAATTTTTTTCACTTATAATTTTGCTTCCTAATGTCAGGGTTCCAGCCCCCAAGCTACTGACCTCACATAAGAATGTATTTATTTATTTTGTCTTGGATGAACTCAATTACTTTCTGAATCACACTGGGAACAAACAAAGCAAAAACATGGTTTTAAGGGTTATTGCTTTTTGAGTTTTCTGAAACCACAGAGTCGAGAGAACAGACTTTGTTAAAGTGTCAAAGTGAATAAAAATGCATGAAACAAAGAGGTTATATTTATCTTCCAATGCATGCATGTAATGTCAATGATGTGGCATGCATCTCATTAAGCAGATATCCCATTTTGAGGAGTGTTGGGTATCACAGAGGAAAGAAAGGAAAGCAACTATTTTCTCTACCGGACTTCACTGTTTTTCTTCCCAAGGTACGTTTTCCAAAGAACATCAGTGATACCCAAAGCATGCAGCCGATCTCAGATAACAGCGTGCACTTTCTAGAAGTTTCACTGACTAGAGAAAGCCGTAAGTTCTACCGCATGTTAACCAGCATTTGAACTCACAGGGACAAACACTTAAAGTGCCTGCGGAAGGGCCCATACCTCTCACAAGTGCTGCTTCTAGGAAGGTCCATGTTGTTTCCTTTCCCCTGATCCCACCAGAAGAGAACTTCCATCGTATGCTAATCTCTGTTCAATACTTTTGTTTTTACACAGTTTAGAACTCTTTGATCTTTTAAGGAGGAGATGGGCCTAGCATTGATCACCTGCAGGTAAGATTTGCATGAGAGCGTATGAGACAGTTGAACAGGAACTGCCGTCCTGAAGGGCACACCGGTGGTGGTACACAGGGGTGTCATGCTGCTGTGTTTCTGGGGGGTGGGCACTGCAACTCAGATGCCACACATGTTTCTATTAGAAGGAGCTGCATATAGTCTTCCAGTGCAGCTGGGCAGCACAGGACACAGGCACAGACCCCAGACACGGGTGGCAAAAAGCACTTGGAGAGGGAGAACTGGATCCCTTGGGGCCCCACGAACACCCTGAGGGAAAGGCCCCTGCAGGCTCCTCTGAGTGGCCAGCTGTGCTGTGCACCTTCTTAGAAACATATCAGATCAGGACAGACCCAGGGTCCACGCTGAGCAAGTGGCATAGGCAGGCTGTGAGTTGTTTGTGAATAGTGACGCAGGTCCTAACACAGGAAGGCCTTGAGGTGGCACAGACTGGCTCAGGGCGGAGGGGATGTTCACAAAAGCCACTTAGATGGTCACATCCTTTGTGAGATGGTGTCAGAACCTCTCTTCATAGAGAGGTTATAGAATTCTCTACAGAATAGAGAATATTCTCTGTTCTGTAGAGAATTATAAAGCCAACGTGTCTAAAGGCTGGCACTTTTCCTCTAAGGAAGATCCTTTTGCCTGCTGGGCTCCAGTAGGATGGACGTGGGAGCTGGGACAGGACTGGAGGGCTGGTGGGACTTCACATCAATAAGGGAGGGACATCCTGGTCTGAGAACAAAACAGACGCAGAAAGGAAGAGGAAGTCTGGCTCTCCCTGCCGCCACCAGTGACAGAACTAAAATCAACTGAACAAAGGCTGCTGGGAACAGGAGCTAAGCTTGAGCAGGGTTCTGAGGAAAGTTAAACTTAGATGTGGGGCAACTGTTGCTCAGGGTGCGCTGTAGGGGGAGGGGTGAGAAAACCAGTGCTCACCGCTGTAGCTGGCCCAGTGCATGGATTTCACATGCGCTCTTCCTATGGTTCCAGAGAAGGTTTAAATTGCTTGGCAGTTAATTTTAAACATCTCCATGGCAACTTGTGAGGCTTTAGGCAGACAGGTGGTTGAACTTTAGAGGGTCCATATATAAATTTAAACACCATTGAAAATATAGTGGCCACCTCTTATTCACCACTATGGTATGATCATAAAAGCCTCGATGGAGGGAAACTCTCAGATCTTTTTATACATAGCTGGGTTGGGCGGAGTGCACTTAAATATTATTTTCTCAGTTGGAATGTTGATGGGGAGGCCTAAGTGATCTTTCTCTTCCAGAAGGCTGCTTTGGCTGGGCTGTCTCTGGATGTGATGCAGGTGACCATGACAATGGCAGGTCAAGACAGATGGGCTGAGGATGGGACTCTGGGGGCCCCAGACCACTGGGAGCATGAAGACCTTGGGAAGGGGTCACGCATGATGGACGTCTGAACCAACGCATGCCAAGTCCCCACCCACCTGGGGAGGGCTTCTCAGGTGCTCAATCATTTTCTCTGCCCCACGGCCACCCTCTCAAACAAAGGGATGATGGCTACAGGAAGCCACGTTCTGCAGGCGGAATGAAAACGCACGTAACAGGTGCGAGCTGTGGGCCAGGAGGCCCCTTGCTCCCCCAATTACTGTCTCGTCCAACATGTCGCCGGGTTCCATGACGACGCAGCCTGCTGCTTAAGAATGTGCTGTCTCAGCCAAGTTTCTTAACGCGTCTGCTCCAACCTCAGATTCCTCAGCCGTGAAAAGCAGGAAGTTATGCCACCGACCTCACGGAGGGAAGAGGAGAAGAGAAACTCCACACAGCACTCAGTCAATCAGTCAAGCGCCGTGCACAGTGAATGCTTTGTGAAGCTTGCTTCTCGCTGTCACTGCCACGGATATCGCTAGTGTTATTACACGAATGACAAGCAGTAGCCTAATTTTTTACATGATTAGACTTAAAAACCTACACCCAGTCTTGAAAACACATCTCCTCTGTGCGCCCTCTATTCACAGTTGATTTCTGCATAAATATAAATGTGGTCTCCTGAAGGTTGGTTATCTTTTCTAGTTACTTCTCTCTCTCTTTTCTCACCATGCTCTCCTAAATCCTTGAGGGTCCGAGCCCCTCACCTAAGACAACCAAGAGGAGGAGGCTGTCGGTCTTTCCGTGAATGCTTTTCTCCTGTGAACCCCGGGGCTCTGGGTTGAGAGTTGTCTTCTGGTGCATTTATCTTGTAGTAGCATTGTTGACACATTTATCTCAACTGTCCTACTTGGATGTAATTTGTGGAGATGGGACAAGCCTTATTTAACTTTAAAACATTTATAGCATATGTGCCTGATTAGGTAGCAAGTACTTAACTATTTTTAAAATAAATGAGTAAAGATAGCATTAGATAAATTATTCACGGTAGGCAATGTCCTATGTTAAATAAAAAAATAGGGTGCTTACATGAAGAATGGCTGTTCGCAGGCCCCAAGATGACACCCAATCGCACAGAGCAAATCTGTCTGTGTGCCCTCAGGGTACTCCAGCACCCTCCCTCCTTCAGATCTAGAGCATTCATGCCAAGAAGATTCCAGGGCCTTGAGACTTGCCTATTTGTTTTATAAATATTAATTTCTGAGAGTAACTAATCAAGTAAACTTCTTTGTCCCTTGAATCAGAAAAATTTAGTGATGTTTTGAGTATTTTCCATCAGAGGGCAACTCTAGAGCCCCCATGGTGGGAAGACTTCCTGCCTACCTGTACTGAGAAAATATAATTTGCATTCCATCTGCTATGTGGTGGACTGTGTCAGGGATGAGTCCATTGTGTGCCACTCATGTTCTAGAAGAAATTCCTAATAACTCACATCTCAACGTCTTGGGAGCAAACCCCATCTTCTGCTCTATTTTTACATTGGTTTGCTGAAATGGTGAGGGCTTGGAAATATACGTACCCACTGGTGGAGTTCAGAAATCCCGTGGCACCAGACAGCTGAGGCCAGTCCAGCTCATCAGTAAGTGCTGCTGGTAAGTTGAAGAAGGATTTCTAAAGAAAAAATAAAGTGGCGATTATCAGAATGGTCACTTGTTTTCTACAGTGACAGTTAATTTTAAACACCAGTAAGATTATTCATTGCCTAGACATTGCTCTTTGTCTGTCTCTTATTCTCTCTCTTTCTTAATCTCTCTGTTTAAGGGACTTTGGCATCTAAAGCATATGCCCCTTAACTTAAACTATCGTCAGAAGATTCACAGAGACCAGGATCTCAGATGACCTGGCCCCCACATGGTGCCTGTGGAAGAGGCGGAGGGCGTGTCAGCCCATACTCATCCTCACTGGGAAGGGGTGTTTCAGGAGTCGAGCAAACTTTCCACTCTTTCACATTTGCTGAGATGTTTCTCCATATTTTTTAGACAGTCAGGATATTGATTGCCTGAAAAGGAGTACTACCCAAGCCCCTAGCAAAAATACCTTCTTGAGTTCAAAACTCTGGCCTCAGTCAATAAGGGGTGCCTTCTGCACCCTTTGGGGGTGTCAGACACCTTTAAGAATCTAAGTATGGTTATTTTCCCCATGAGATGCATGTGTATGCAACGTGGCCTGGGAGTTCAAAGGGCCCACAGACGCCCTGCAGCTTCTGTACAGGCTGCAGCCCCAGAACGCCTGACGGAGGGTGTGGACAGAGTTAAGGTTCGTTGAACCTCATTGCCACGGCTCACGCCACATCAGAGAAGATGATGCTTCCAGCCCAGTCCCCTTATTGTTTCTTTTATGAATGTCCTCTGGGAAGAACTCTCTTCTGCTCTAATTTCCACAAAAAGCTTATCTAGATGGCTGTTTTTAGAATAGGGTTGCCAGATTTAGCACAAAAATGACCCATTACATTTGAGTGTCGAGAAACAAAATGTGTACACACAACAGAAAACTACTCAGCCTTAAGAAAGAAGAAAATGCTGGCACATGCTACAGCATGGATGAAATCTATATTGTGAATTGATGTTGAATTTTTATAATGTACTACTTGGTAATCAGAAAAAAATAAAGATGCATTTTCAATTATGCACTTTACAAAGTGATCCTCTGATATTCAACTTTAATTGAAAAATAAAATTGAAAAAAGATACATTTTTAATTAGTTAATGAGCCAGAAGTGTTGCTCTTCCTTCCCTAACAGCCTCCAGACCCAGATTCTCTTTAGGAGACAGGGTGAGGACCCTCGTCGGGGAGGAAGCCCGCAGGAGGCAGGGCCACATGCCCTTTGGAAAAAAATGCATATATCCCTGGCTGGTGTGGCTCAGTGGATTGAGTGCTGGCCTAGAAACCAAAGGGTCACCAGTTTGATTCCCAGTCAGGGCACATGCCCGAGTTGCAGGCCAGGTCCCCAGTAGGGGGCGTGTGAGAAGCAACCACACATGGACGTTTCTTTCCCTTTCTCCCTCCCCTCCCCTCTCTCTAAAAATAAATAAGATCTTTAAAAAGTGCATTCAGTGATATGGTTGCTTTGATATGATTTGCCTTTAGATATACCTTTAATATATTTCTAATTTTAAAACATTATAGAAGAACGTGAGGGGTTTCGAGGTTCAACCAAAGGAGGGGCACAGGTTTTCAATACTGAAGACCCTGTGATTCCAGGGACTGGTACTTCATTGTCACCCCTTAGTGGGAGCCACCCGCAACTTTCTGCTCAAAACTCCATCATTACTGTGACTCAGCTCCTCTCTGTTTTGGTTTCGATTCCTCCTGCCACTATAATCAAACCTTTTCTCTGTTTTTGTTTTAATATTATTTTCCTCCTAGGTTTTTCTCTTTATGTGTTTACTGTAGGATTTGACAATATTCAATTCTACTACAGACATCAAGAAAAACAAACAGAATGGATGAAACTCATAAGGTAGTTTAAGCCAAGAGAGTGAATAAGCAGGTAGGCGGCTTGTGAGATAGGGGACAGAATTTATGAGCTGTCTTAGTAAAAGTGAGCAACCTGTGAAACATGTTACAAGTTTAAAGAACAACACAACACTCCCTCACACCACTCTCCCGCATTTTTCTCAGTCACAGATGCAATGACAAGCCCGGATTTGGGAAAGTGGGTAGGGAACTGGGCTTCCACAGTAAAGAGTTAGACAAGAACTCTGTTGGCAGAGTGGGTGTGTCTGATACCCCCTGAGCCTGGAATAATAATGGAAGTGATAGTAGTTCTGATGTGAGCTGGCAAAGCAGGGAAAAGATTTTACTCTAGGAATCAGGAGGTCAGATTTTCGTATCTGCTCTACCAATACTATGAAGCTCCTCAGTTCGGACTTGTCAGGGCTCCATCCAAGCCCTGAGAAGTCCGGGGTGGGTGGCAAAACTCTGATCTCCCCAGAGGGGTGTGGGGAAAGGAGATGTTGAGGAAATGGTCAGCAACCTTAGGAAGTGGGGTCTCCATGTGCCCCACATTTTTCCAGCTCGGTGTCCCTGGATCAACCTGAAGAAATGGGTTTCAGCTACCTGGGAGAATCCTGGACTCCTTGCTGCTCTCCGAGAAGCCCCAGCCAGTCTCTGGAATCATCTGGAATCATCCCCATCAGGATTTTAGCAGTAGTGAACAGCAGCTGGTGTTGCAAGACAGCGGGAACTGGGGTAGATTTGCCCCCCACAGCTGGAGCCGAGGGAGGGGAGTGAGCTGAATCGTTTAGTCTTGGTTATTTGATAGACCTTGAAATAACACCAATCCATGTTTTCCTGGTTAAATATTTTAGAGTTTGCTTATGGTGTTATGGCGAGGTTTTAAATACTCCTCATTGTGCCAAGTCAGGGAAGAGGGAGCTTTACCAGTGTCTCAGGACCAGTATCTCCTTTGGAGACAGATTATTACCCCATCGACTTCAGTAGTGCTGTTGGGGGGATCAAAGGTCAGTGAGAGAAGCAGGTGGATGAGTATATGCCCTGCACAAGTAAAGCGTCCTGTCTGGGGTGGACCACTCAGGGCCCCTCCCTTCCCCAGTGCACTGTCTCAGGTGTAAGAGGAGTGAATTCTATTGTGAGTGAGTGAAAAACGACCTGAGCACACAAATGGAAGCCTCCACATCGTTTTCTTCCTTAGTAAAGTCGGTAGATAAAAACAAGAAGTCACAGCCACTAAGAACAAAGGCTTCATAGACCCTGGCAAAAAAGGAATGTTTGTCAGATCACATGAAACGCTAAACGCCTTATCCACGCAACATTATACCCAAGACAGTTCAGGCATTTAAGCCAGGCAGTGTGCAAATTAAGATCTCCCTCATCAACTCCTGCTTATTCCTCTTGAGCATTTATGTTCTCAGGAAACTGATCTCAAATGTACCTTAAGTGTACATATGTGGGAAGACTTAATATTTACCAAATTTTTTTCCAAGTTTGTAAAGAGCATCAGAAGCTTGATGAGAATTAAGTCAAGTATTTCATTGCTTCAAAATTTGCTCTGATTTTATCAATGACATAAAAGTGTTTTTTAAAGTGTTTTTATGTCATGCTTGCCATGTGTATACTATTTGGGGGAATATTTTTATATATTATTACTCTGTGAGTGTGTATTTCTATGCATTGAGTAAGTCCTCTGGTTCTCATTTTTAATGTCTATTTAGTAAATACACATACTTTGGTTTGAGGAATATTTTAAGACTTAGCTTCAACAAGCAGCTTACAGTTGGGTTTCTTCAAGCCATCTCAGGTGTGAGAAAGTCATGCATAACTCACACACCCGTCAGGTTCTTCCCATCATCAAAGGGAATACTTTGGTGCCTTTGCTTCACTGTTTGCCCTCAAGCCTTCACCACCCAGCAGCACTGGGGCAATTTGCAGAGTGTATTCCCTTTTCTAATACCCTTAACTGAGTTAGACCTACATTGCTTATTTTCAAATAATACAGTCACTTGGAGGAAATGGCAGCTAACCATTGATGGAAACAGAGGAAAAATAGCGTCATTATCATGCTAAGTGAAATAAGCCAGCCAGAGAAAGACCAAAACCATGATTTCATTTATATCTGGAATCTAATGAACAAAAGAAACTAACAAACAGAATAGAAACAGCCTCACAGATACAGAGAACAGGCTGACAGGTGTCAGAGGGAGGGGGATTTGAGGGGCTGGATGAAGGGCTTAAGCAAAAGCAACAACAGCAACAAAAACCAAGCAGACACAGACAATGGTAAGGCACTGCCAGAGGCAAGGCGGGTGGGGGGAGGAGGAAGAGGGCAAAGCGGGGATAAACGGTAATGGCCATCTTTCTCTCCTGTTTCTCTTTTTCTGGAAGTGAAGCCTAACTAATGAAGAGTACAGGATGAATGTTTTGGAGGCAAATACTGAAATGATACATGACCGTACACAGGCACCTGCATACATTCCTGCCCTGGTTACGCCAGGGGAGAGGCGGCCACACAGAACAACGTGGGCTCACTGCCGACCTGCAGGTTCATCTCCAGCGCAGCCTGGCAGATGAGGTTCTGGGAGAATTCGGGGAGAGGGCATCATCTGGCTCCAGCCTCTGGGATCTCAGGCTGCCCTAGATTGGGTAGCCCTGTTTTTGCAAGGGAATGCTTTGACATAGGCACCTCAAGGGTGCAGTTTAACTCTCTGAGTTTGAGTTGCAAACCCTAGAATCCCATGAGCAGTGGAATGAGTCTCTTTTTGGGGTTCCTGTAGCTCTATAATGAGACACAGAGAGAGAGGCATATCACTTGCAAACCAGTGATGGGTACATCAGGCAACTGTGGTGCCCACCATCCACAGAGGCATAGGTGATAGACATTTCCCAGCTGGTAGCCTTAAAGACTTTCCTTAATTCCTCTGTGTCTCAGTTTCTTTATAAAATGGGCTGCTAACAGCACCTAGCTATCTCACTGGGTGGCTGAGAGGATTTGAAAAGACAGGCTACACATAGAATTGTAAGTGCTAAATAAAAGTTAGCTGATAGAGACATCCATGGGCAGCTCCAGGGTACCACGTCAGGATGTAGCAGAGATACCTACCCCATAAGCGGGGGCTCAGGGAAGGAATCTTAAAAGAACTGTGATCTATGTG